CGGAATTAAAGTTTCAAAGTGTAAAGAGAGAAAAGACAAACATGCACTAGAAATTTATCGGTTTAGACAACCTTTTGTTTCGTCTAATTAATTTACTTAAAATGAAGTTTATAAAAATCTCTACTAGTATTTCTTTAAAAATATGAAGTTATTCTTTCCGGTTAACTAAAAAACGTAGGGTGTGACTGATTGTATAATTGATAGAATTGAGAGGAAAAGAAAATAATTGAGGAAAGAGAGAAAAAAAAACTGTTGGAAGAAAAATATTTCTACCTAAAAAATGTAGAGGGAAAAATTCCTCTCTTTTTTCCTTGTTTTCAATTTTTAATAATAAATATAGCAGAATAATAAATCCTTTTTTTTTTCTTGATCGGTGTAAATAGGGTAGAAAAACTATTTTTTTTTTTCCTTTCCTCTCAGAGGATGTAACAGTCACAACGTAATCTTCTCTTTCTCTCTTTTTTATTTTGTCAAAAAAGTAGTCTTATCGAACCAAGTACTATATTCTTATTAATTGTGATGACATTTAATATAGTCAATAATACTAAACGTGTCTAATTTTCTTGACGGGACCACGCCTTTTGAATATTTATCAATTCGTTTAAAATACTTGTCATATAGTTGAAAAGTTGTTACTAAATATAGATTGTGACGTTCTCAAACAACTAAAATATCAAAATGGTCGTGTTTGATATGTAAAGTCATGATTTAATATATTAAAAGTTCAAACTAAGAAAACATGATTTGATATATTTTGAAGTTCAAGCTAAGTATTTTTTTTTTTTTTTGAAAAAGAGTTCAAACTAAATTAGTAAATTCAAATATCAAAATCGTCGTGTTTGTGACGATTAAAAGAAAAATGGAGCTTACCAAAGTAACTGACTGTTGAGCTGCGATAGTGAGCATATCTGCGCATGAAACGGTTCTCGGACAGGCCCTCTCGATCGCGGCTTTCATTCTATCAATCACAGGAAATCCGCGAGCCGAATTTGCGTTTCCAAAGGCATCTTTCTCTGTTCGAAATGATGTTGTGTTGTCTAACAAGATCGATGCATCACAACCCTATCAAAAAAAAAAAAAATATCATTTAATAAACTATTAGTCAATGTATTACATCCATACTTAAATCTTTACTTTACCACCGGTAAAAACGTGACACTGGTTTCTTTTTTTTTGTCATCCATTAAAAGTGTTTGTTCCAGGAGCAGCAAATATCTTTTTCGAAAAATAAAATCATTATTATTGTAAATGAAACTGAAGAATTAAAAAATTACTTTATAATCTGAGATATTCATTTTCTAACACCACGTTATTGGTCAACGCGAATATTTATTTTTTTCTAAATATTTTAGTGGTTTCGTTATCGGGTTCAGAATTGTTTACCAAAACAAGACTTGTCTACATCCTAAATAATAAAACAAATGATTGATGGGTCATAATTTCAGACCGTGTTTGGCACGGCACCATGATCTTCCTAAATAATCCGTGATCTGAGTTTCATCATAATTATATTTTTGCATTATCCTTGTGTCAGAAATTAATAAATAACCAGTAACCAATCATCATTGTCGACACAAGTCAAGCATTCATTACTCTATACCAAAAACCAA